TTCCTGATTAGATCCTGGACTAGAAAAAAAGACATTAATATAACAACTGAAAAAATTTGAATGAGGTCTTTAGATTAGTTAAAAGTTTTGTAACAATATTAATTTCTTGATTTGATAACTCTACTGTGGTTATGTATGATATTAACATTTGAGGAAACTGAGTGAAAGGTATATAGGAATTATCTGTGTAAAAGTTTTTCATAACTCCGTAATTAATACAAATGGAGAAGCTAAAAATGTTTTTTAAAAAATCTCTGCTCTTCAGGGGCGTCTGGGTGGCTCAATGGTTAAGTGTCTGCCTTCGGCTCAGGTCATGATCCCAGGGTCCTGGGATCGAGCCCCACGTGCCCCACACTGGGCTCCTGGCTCAGCGGGGAGCCTGCTTCTCCCTCTCCCTCCACCTCTCCCTCTGCTCATGCTCTCTCTCTCTCCGTATCTCTGTGTCTCAAATGAATAAATAAAATCTTTTAAGAAAAAATCTCTGCTCTTCAAAAGACACAAAATAAAAAGGCTGAGAGAATATTCACAATACTTATATTTGACAAAAAAAAAATGCTATATAATTGACTTACATAAAAGGACTTTTATCCATAATATATAATAATATATAATATGCATAGAAAGGCATACTACTAAGCAACAAAATGAACAAACCACTGATATATGGAATAACACATATGAATCTTGAAAACAAACTGTAGTATATCCACGCAATAAAAAAACTTCTCAACATTAAAAAGGAATGACGTAGTGATACATGGTACATCAATGATGAATCTCAAAATAATTACACTGAATGAAAGAAGCCAGCCACACAAATATATACTGAATATATAAAATGCTAAAAATAAGCCAAAAAAACAAATCTAACTTAGAGTGAAAAAGTGATTGGTGTTTGCCTTGGACTAAGGTGGGACTTGATTGGGCAATAGTACGTGCAAACGTGGAGTTGATAAAAATGTTCTATATCTTGATTGTGGAGGTGGTTACACAGTGACAATGTAAATTATACTACAATGAAAGCGATTTAAGACTTGTTAAAATGAAGGCTAGAAGAGAGAAGCCTTTGATTAAATAATACACACCTTTAAGCATTCTTAATTATAGGTTTCTCTTTTTCTTTTTGATGGGTATCTTTTATATCACCATGACTATTTTCATAGCATTTTAGTACAGTGGGTAGATTACAAGATTTAGCTTATATACTTTGATAACCTGAACTTTGAAAAACATGAAAGTTTGTGGTTCAAAGAAACATAGCTGAAAGGGAATGAAAAAGCTGAATTAATTATCAATTATTTCTCCTCTAGTCTACTGCCCTACATGCCAGAGAAGAATGGCTTTCTCTTTAGTGTCTGAAAAGGAGAGTCAAAATTTTAAACACTAAAAGTCTCCTCTTAGTGTATGCTCCAACATTCTCCTTCCAGGATCAAGTGTATAATGAATAGGAAAAAAGGAGTGAGTCCAGGATTAGCCTTAAGGTTGAAAATCATCCCCAGTGAAAGGAAAATAAGTTTAAAACTATGCCAGGTCGCCTGGGTGGCTCAGTTGGTTAAACATCTAACTCTTGATTTTGGCTCAAATCATGATCTCAGAGTCCTGAAACTGAGTCCCAAGTCAGGCTCCGCCCTAGGCGTGGAGCCTGCTTGAGATTCTCTCTCCCCCTCTCTATCTGCCCCTCCCCCCCACTTGTGTGCTCTCTCTCTCTCTAAAAAATAAAAATAAGTTTAAAACTATGCCAAAATATTACCATACTAGCATTTCTGTAAAAGTATAAGAGCAGTAAGGTAATCTTAAGACTCTAATCAGTATCATGTGTATATCAATGTGTACCTTGGTTAAGTGTTATGCTAAGCTTCTACATGTTCATTAAATCATTTAAATCTATAAACATTCAGAAGAGATTATTTATATTTTATGAAGAAATTGAGACTTAGATAAAATAGTTATTAAAAGTCAAATACGGGTGCCTGGGTGGCTCAGTCGTTAAGCGCCTGCCTTCGGCTCAGGTCATGATCCCAGAGTCCTGGGATCGAGTCCCACATCGGGCTCCCTCCTTGGGGGGAGGCCCGCTTCTCCCTCTCCTTCTCCCTCTCCCACTCCCCCTGCTTGTGTTCCCTCTCTCGCTGTCTCTTTCAAATAAATAAATAAAATCTTTAAAAAAAAAAAAAGTCAAATACAGCTGACCATTTAACAGTGTCAGGTTTAGGGGCACTTACCACCCCCCATGCCCTCAAAAATCTGTGTAGAACTTTTGACTCTCCCAAAACGTAACCACTAATGGCCTACTGTCGACTGAAAGCCTTATTGATAACAGTCAATTAACACATATTTTGTATGTTATATGTATCATGTACTGTATTCTTACAATAAAGTAAGCCAGAGGAAAAAAAAAATGTTATTAAGAAAACCATAAGGAAGAGGGGCGCCTGGGTGGCTCAGTAGATTAAGCATCCAACTCTTGATTTTGGCTCAGGTCATGATCTCTAGGGTCCTAGGATCCTAGGATCGAGCCCTGCTTCAAGCTCTGCACTTAGTGCATAGTCTGCTTGGGATTCTCTCTCTCCCTCTCCCTCTGCCCCTACCCCTGCTTGTGCTCTCTCTCTCTCTAAAATAAATAAATAAAATCTTAAAAAAAAGAAAGAAAGAAACCATAAGGAAGAGAAAATACATTTACAATACTGTTCTGTATTTATAGTGAAAAACCCATGTATAAGTGGACCAGCACAGTCAAACTCAGGTTACTTGAGGATCAACTGTAGATAAAAGTGGCAAATTGGGATTGAATCTAAGTGTATCTAACTCCAGGCTTTGGGCTCTTTACTGTTCTGCCATTTTATCTCCAATTATGCTATGTATACTACCTTCCGTATTACAAAGAGGCTCAAGTGTGTAAGTCTGTACAGATCAAAGAACACTATACTGGTTCTCCTTATATCTGAGCTAAGAAGTCTTAGGAATGGTAACTGAGAATGTAGTTTCAAGCACATGTAAAGCATTATATTCTACCAAATATCATTCCTATAAAGTACAGCTATCCAATATTAAAAAGAATTCTGGGGACTGAGGGCTATAGGTCCCAAATAATTTTCTCTAATTTTATTTCCTAACCAGCCCCAAAGCTCCACAGAGTTAACACCAATCACAGTAAAGATAAGAAATGGACCGCAGAGAACCTACTTTAACTGGTAAGAGGACAATTATAGCAATGCCTCTTTCTCCATTCTCTCTCTCTCTTTTTTTTTTTAAGTTTTTTATTTTTCTCTGTATAATTCTTTTGAATATTAAAGTTTCATATATTTACTTGACTTCCTTCTCCAGGAATTTTGCTAACATGGATTTAATTTGTTCAAAATCATTTTACTTTGTTAACTTTTTGAAATGCATAGTAATAAAGTAATGGTAGAGTTATTATACTAGATTGACTAAAATTTATCTACTTTAATAATTGACAAGAAGAAATCTCAGAGACATAGAGAAAATCCTGAAAGCAGCTCGGAACAAGAGGTCGGTAACCTACAAGGGAAGAAATACTAGATTAGCAGCAGAACTATCCATCGAGACCTGGCAGGCCAGAAAAGACTGGCATGATATATTCAGGATACTAAACAAGAAAAATATGCAGCCAAGAATACTTTATCCAGCTAGGATGTAATTCAAAATAGAAGGAGATAAAAAGCTTCCAGGACAAACAGAAACTAAGAGAATTTGTGATCACCAAACCAGAAATACTGAAATGGATTCTCTAATCAAAGAGAAAGCCTAAAAGTAACATAGACCAGAAAGAAACAGAGACAATATTCAGTAACAGTCACCTTACAGGCAATACAATGGCACTAAATTCATATCTTTCAATAGTTACCCTGAATGTAAATGGGCTAAATGCCCCAATCAAAAGACACAGGGTATTAGACAGAATAAAAAAGCAAGACCCATCAATATGCTGTCTGCAAGAGACTCATTTTAGACCCAAAGACACCTCCATATTTAAAGTGAGGGGATGGAAAACCATTTATCATGCTAATGGACATCCAAAGAAAGCTGGGGTGGCGATCCTTATATCAGATAAATTAGATTTTAAACCAAAGACTGGAATAAGAGATGAGGAAGGACACTATCATAATTAAAGGGTCTATTTAACAAGAAGATCTAACAATTGTAAATATTTATGCCCCTAACATGGGGCAGCCAATTATATAAGCCAATTAAGGAAACACATCGATAATACAATAATAGTAGCAGACTTTAACAACCCCCTCACTGCAATGGACAGATCATCTAAGCAGAAGATCAACAAGGAAATATGGGCTTTAAATGACACACTGGACCAGATGGACTTCACAGATATATTCAGAACATTCCATCCCAAAGCAACAGAATACACATTCTTCTCGAGTGCACATGCAACATTCTCCAGAATAGATCACATCCTGGGTTACAAATCAGGTCTCAACTGGTACCAAAAGATTGGGATCATTCCCTGCATATTTTTGGACCACAATGCTTTGAAACTGGAACTCAGTGGCCTTTATGATATTAAGGTATGTTTCCTCTAACCCTACACTGTGAAGAGTTTTAATAAAAAAAAAAAAAAACGGGATCATACGGGAAGGGAGGGAAAAATAAAACAAGACAAATCAGAGAGGGAGACAAACCATAAGAGACTCTTAATCTTAGAAAACAAACTGAGGGTTGCTGGAGGGGAGGGGTTGGGGGATGGGGTACCTGGGTGATGGACACTGGGGAGGGTCCGTGTTGTAATGAGCACTGGATATTATATAAGACTGATGAATCACAGACCTGTACCCCTCAAACAAATAATACATTATATGTTAGTTAATTGAATTTAAATTTAAAAAAATAAAATAATTGACAAGAAGAAAATATTCACTAGTTGATCATCCTGTTTAAGAATATAAATAACATTTACATTTGAGCAAAAAATAAGTTTGAGCATATTGATTATATTTGTGGAGGGAGTAAAGCAATTTTCATCTTACCTGAAATCACATGCTGTAGTAAATTCTGCTCCTCCACCCAATGCCCAACCTTGAATCAGCGCAACACTTATTAAAGGGAGTCTGTTTATTGAAGGAAAAAAGGAAAATATGGATGTTAATGTTTTTCATTTCAATAATAATTTACAAATATTACTTTAAAAAACTTGAGATGGAGCAGAAACAAAATTATTGAACTATGTTCATAATCACAAACATACCTCAAAGGATAGTGGAACCTTGATTGTGTGTATCATGAGGAATAAAACAGTATAATTCTTAAGATATAGTAATTCATACTAAATGCTGTGTAAGCTTATCAAACAACCTCCCTGAAATCATCTATTTTTAAACTATTAACTATATTTTTATATATGAATAATATACATAAAATATATAAAGTATATATTATAAATACTATATGATATATATACCTTATGTATATTTTTATATATTACTAACTGTATTTTTTAACTATATATTGTAACTTTCTTCTAAATAAATGAATGTTTTTTATATAATATACAGCTCCTACAACTCAGCCACTGGCAATCAAGAATAATTAAATGTGGTCGTATTTTACTCCATTTTTACTGATGTCATGTTAGGAGGCAAAATTAAGGCTATATCCAAAGGAAGACTGAGCTCCAAAACTGTGTTATTATAAAGATTCCTATCAAAAGTCTTATTGCCTATTGAAATGACTGATAAAGTAATACTATATAAAGGAATGAGTCTGTGGTAAAAATAAATCTCTTCACCTTTCCTGACTGCAAAGACCCACTTTGAAAGAAGTATGTAAGTATTACAAGGTAAATACATATGCTTTGAAAGTATGGAATATTTTGTAGGTTCTAACCAAATGCAAAGCTGCACGCCTAAAGTAATGGAAAAATGTATTAACACCTTCTGCTTCCAAATAAAAAGGATTAAAAAAGCTTTTAAGATTTATCTAAGAAAAAGTCAAGTAAATAGGGAAAGGAAGGTGAAGAGGAACTAAAACAATGAAAAAAAGTATTTTAGAATAATGTTTTGATTCCATTATTCTTTCTAGGCTCTTACATATGAAGAGCACCAAAAATAGAGTGATGTCCAACTAGTAAGTATGCTAAATAATATGAATCCTTAGTTTTTATAATTTTATAAGCTCTTTAGGAAAAGTGCCATGTCTTAAAATTTTTTCTCTCTCTGTCTTTGAAATACCTATGCGTACTTCACCAACATTTAATTAAATGACTGTCTTTGATAGCACAAATAAATAGGTCATCATTAAAATAAATATAATTCTAAAATCAGGAATTTTTTAACTGGTGCAAAACAGAACAATGAAGAGCTCTTTTTTTTTTTAGATTTCATATTTTAAAATGAAAGATACATTACCTCATAAATCTTGTTAAGGTGTTTTGCATGAACATACATAAGGCCATTCCATCCTTTAAAGAAGAATAAGCATAAACACAAAGGTATAATGTAAATGTATTATGTAAGAAATTTTTCAATTTTTTTCAGGATTTATAAAGTAATGAAGCCAAAAATATACCCAACTTTTTTTTTTTAAATGAGGTTTTCACTTAAAACTCTTTGATGCTGTCAGAAATGCAAATGATGCAGTATTAAATTCTGTTGACCTTATAGGGTTCCTTGAGCTCAGATCTACATGAGGTATTAGCAAAGACTTAGGCATGAGAGTCAGATCACATATCCCAGAAGAGTGTGAAGTTCTACTCAGGGTAATCTGGGAGAAAGAGACATAAGATGTACCCACCTATTATCTCAAATTCTGATCCCCTAAGAATATAAACATATAAAAACAAAATTCTTAAAAGTACAGTTGACCCTTGAACAACACAGGTTTGAATGGTATGGATCCACTTACATGTGGATTTTTTATAGTACAGGACTGTGAATGTGTAAATGTGTATTCTCTTCCTTATGATTTTCTTAACATTTTTTTCTGTAGCTTACTTTATTCTAAGAATACAGTATATAATACATAAAACATACAAAATATGTGTTAATCAACTGTTTATGTTATCAGTTAGGCTTCTACTCAGTGGTAAACTATTAGAAGTTAAGTTATTGGGGAGTCAAAAGTTATATGCAGATTTTCAGCTGTACAGGGGTCAGGAGCCCTAACCCCTGCATTGTCCTAGGGTCAACTGTAGTCTAAACTCACTGCTTCTTTTTTAACTCACATACTTCTTTCAACCTAGGGTAATCTAGTCTTCAGCCTTCTCTCAAAAGACTCCCCTCAAAGGTTTCTAATAATCTTCTATTTGTTAAATGACTTTTCCTTATCCTTATCTTCCTGTCTCTATAACATAGGTATCTTGCTTTGACCAGTTTCTGTATTTTAAAAGCCTCTAATAGTTTCTACCAATACTTTCCACTCTTGATTCCCTTCCTATTTCTTTGATTGTTCCCTTCCAGTTTTCTTCTTTGACTCTTCTTATTCAGCTAAATAAGTAATTTAATACCTGTAAATGCATGTATTCCCCAAAAATCCAACCCATGATTCTCTTTCTCTTCTTTATCTACAATTTCTTCCTTGGAAATCTTATCCACCCCCATTGCTTCAACTCTTGTTCTCATGTAGACTCCCAAAACCTCCCAGAAATTTCACATTCTCCCAAGACTTCAAATTCAGCATGGCAAAACCAACTGGGAGTGGGAAGAGCTGAGTTTGGATCCTAGTGCTACTGCTTAATAATAACATGAACTGGAGCAAGTCTTAAATGAGTTTCCTCATCTGAAAGGAAGGAATGATGAATAAAAAAAATACTTGTTCTATTTGACTTAAAGAATGGCTGGAAAGATGAAAATGTACCTAGATACCCTGTAAAAGATCACATAAATGTAAGTGAGTTCTGAGTTAATTAAAAAAAAAAAGGTCTTCTGGTCAATAAGGCTCAGAATTTTGTCATTTTCTTTGATTCTTCCATTTCACAGTTCACCCACAATTAGTTACCAAGTATGTCCTTTGAAATATTTCCAGTATAAATCCCTTCTTTTTCTATTTGCACTGCTGCTACACTGGCTCAGACTTATGTTACTCATACTTAGATCATGACAACAGCCTTGTTTCCTAACTAGGAATGCATTTCCTAACTATATTGCATCAAAGTACATTATATTATACAAAGTATTTTAAGAAATGCTTGAATAAACTGAGATGAGTGCCAAAGAAGAAGCAATTTATTTCAATTGGGTCAGGGTAGTTGGGAAAGCTTTATAGAGAAGGGAAGATGGCATTTGCTAGGCCTACACAATAAGCCTTTTGAGGTTGACAAAATGCCTTCTTTATCCTCAGAAGCCAATACAATGTTTTGCATATAATATTTGCTTTTGAAGGTAACTGAATCAGATGAATTTTAAAAACTGTTATTCCAGAAAACAAATGCAGTCAATGAAAGGTAAAAACCAACATAAATTAAATATAAATTTCCTAACTGAAAGCCTTTATCACAAAGGTCATTCTATATTATAAATTGATAAGAAAATTAACACTAGCACAAAGAGCTAGAAGGTTTAAAACTAGACTGATTTACATTTCGTTAAAATCTGTGCAATAGGGGAGCCTGGGTGGCTCAGTCAGTTGAGCAGCCAACTCGTGATTTGGCTCAGGTCATGATCTCCTGGGTCTTGAGATGAAGTCCTGCATCAGGCTCTGTGCTAAGCAGGGAATCTGCTTAAGATTCTCTCTCCTCTCCCTCTACCCCTCCCCCTGCTCATGCTCGCTCTCTCTAAAATAAATAAATAAAATCTTAAAAAAAAATCTGTGCAGTAAAGCCTGTTAAATTATCTCAATAAATTAATCTTAATAGGCCTATTTTCTATTATACTAGATTTAGAGTACTTAAAATTCTGGCAGAAGCATCTAGAATTGATAGAAATGAAAGTGAAGCATGTATTAGACTGTATGCTGTTATAATTCTCATTCAAAAGATAAGTCACATTAAAAATGTTTAAAAGCAGTATAGAACAATGGTTAACAACATAGATGCTAGAGCTAAAATGCCTAGGTTGAATCTAGGCTCTACTACTTACCAGCTAGTCTGGCTTTGGGCATGATACCTAACCTCTGTGCTTCAGTCTCCTCACCTATAGTAATAGTATCTATCTCATTAGGGTAGTTAGTAATGATTAAATAAATCTGACATGTAAAGAACTTAGTGCCTGATATATAGTAATAGAATAAGGAATGTTATCTAGCACTGCTATTATTAATATCAGCAATAGCATTGGGCATCAGATAATGAATAAGCTTTGGCTTTAAATGTATCATAAAGTAAAGATTACACTGTAATAGCTGACAAGACCTAGGGAGAAAAAAGATTAGATTTGTCCCCCAAAGCCACTGGGCCAAAAATTGTTAAATGCTCAAGCCCTTTCCCGGGCTGTAAGAAGAAAATAAGTCAATGAGAGATAAAACCAAGCTTGTGATAGAATAAGTTGAAAAAAAGAAACCAATGAAAAGCTATACCTGCTCTGATGAATGAAGCCTAGAAGCTGGAAAGTAACAAAAAAAAAAGGTTTTAAGAGCTGCTGCAGACAGTGCTATTTTCATCCAGCTAAATGATACCCTGAGGCCCAAACCTACTCCTTCAGTTCTTACTTGTATAACAAAGATGAGAAGCACAATGCTCAGCTGAAGTGCCAAAAAGAACTATTAACGTCTTATTTACTCTGAGCCACATTTATCCTGAGTGGAAAAGTGCTCAGCCTATAAAAGTATCTTATCCTAGAACCGTAAAGGAGACTTTCTCTTTTTTTCCCTAAGTGCTTGTTGTATGGATTTATTAATTTCCTCAAAATACAGGGTTTAGAGAAAATTAGAAAAATTTGTCTATAAATTAATGAGGCTAAAACTGAACAACAGCAAAAGCCAAAACTTAGCAAAAGCAAAGAAGACAGATGAGCACTCTGTTTGAGGTCAGTGTAGAAATTTAAGCAACAGAGAAAAATAAGGACAATGGATTGGCAGAAAAGTAACTGAAAGGTCAGGGAACAAAGGAAAATACTACCTTTAAACTAGAGTAAGAGTATAAAGGTTTCTAAAATGCCAGACTTTTCCTTGAGGAATTATACCCATTCACTGCAGAATAAGTAGGTTTGTTTTCCCATATCTTGAAGATTATAATTGGATTTGATGATTTCTGCCTTTTGAAAAAAGACTTCTGATAGTCTACAGAACATCTGTGGCATCAAATCCAACTCTTATAATTGGGTTAATACATTAGATTTTTTTCTTATTTTATTCTTTTCTCTGCCCCATAACCTTTCAGGGCTAATGTGTGTGTTATGCTAATCCATCTCCCTCCCTCAACTTTTTTCAACCAAGGATTAACTGCCTAAAAGGGACATGAGGGTTTTACGGGATTAGTCTACTTCTACTTATATTAGGTAATTTTCACTAATAAAATAGTTTTTAAACTTTGAAAAAATACACTGGCGAAAACATCAACATAATTATCTTTTTTCTTTAAAAAAAAAGCCATTTAATAATCAGAAGAGACTATAATCCAATTACTAAAATCATCATCTATTCTAGTTATCTCATCATCCTCAGAAAAGCAAATTCACTACATAAGTAAATGCTAGTGATACATCTGCAACAACAAAGAGTAAGTGTATTAGATAAAGAAAAGCTTCACTTAGAGAAAGGCTGTTCGTAACTGAATGTTAAGAGTCTCAGAGTATCTCAGCTGTGAGGGGCAGATGCATTTGTACATGCAGCTGCAACTCATACAAAGGTGTGAGGCTCAAAAGTCCTGAGGCCATTTTAAATCTCAGTTTTACACATATTCATAGTTCTTTCTCAGGCATATAGAAATCAACATGATTCTACTTTTCGCTTTTACATGTATAAAAAATAAAAAATCCTGGCCATATGATCTAAAGAGACAGAAACCTTTTCACTAGAAGAAAGCAAAATAACCTTTCACTTTTTTAGGGATGTTTTCCTACCCGACTTACATCAGACCCAAAATAATCTATTATCTCATTCTATCTATCCAGTGTCTTTTATGAGCAAAGTAAGGTGCCTAGGAATTCAATCATTTCAGAGATGAAAAATTATAATCAAATAACTTGCAGGTCATATAGCTAATCATGAGATGACCTTGGAAAAATCCATATAGCCAAATCTCCAGCTTAGTGCTCTAATCATTTGAACACAGAGCAAATTTAAGTCTAGTGGTGCTACAAATTATGGATCATTTCATGGATAATAATGTTTATTAATACTTAGATCTTTGAAATAAAAATAATAGCTACCTTTTTCAGACACTATCCTAGTAATGCATTTTATATATATTATCTTCAATCCTCACAATAGCTATGTGAAATACAGAATTCTCATTTCTAGATTAGGAAAATAAGATTAGAAAGATTAAGTGATCTGCTCAATAACTTACCCAGAAGGTGTTGAAACCAGCATTCAAATCCAAATCTTTCAAAATTACCAAAAGAGAGTTCTTTCCTCACAATTTTACACAAATACAGATCATATACTACATAGAGCAGTATGACTTATGGAATACCATTTAAATGTTATTACCTACATACAGCCTACACCTATAATTAAATGGCTATGAACCTTTTTTTCCTTTTCCTTCCTTTTTTTTGGCCTAGGGTATATGGGTGGAAGTTCCTAGGTTCCTTGGAGGATAATGGAAGATGACTAATAACAGAAAATGATTAGGATTCCTTTTCTATCAGGGTAATTCAGAAGCAAATGTTTTAATTGTTACCATTTGTTGAAGCTTACTATGTGCCAAAGCTTTGCTGGGTACTTTATATATGTACCTCATATAAAATTCCTCATCATGAGATGCTAAGGGTCTTCCACTTAAAAGAATTCAAACTCTTGCTAGTTTTAATGGGCTTTAGTGATTGCTAATCTTCTGGTCCTTCCTTCCCCCCCTCCCCCCACTATTTCATACTATTTGCAAACCCATCTTTAAGAAGAAAGCCAAAACCTCTGATCCTTGGAAAGCTCTTAAAGAGTAGCTATCATAATAGCCATATGTAAAATATAAATATCTCAGCCACAGATCTCTGATAAATATGTGGAATCTAGTGCATAATTCATATAATACTTGCCTCTGGAGTCCCTAGTGATTTCACAGCATTCAGATCGGATCCTGAGGAGAAAGTATTTTTTGCCCCACGGACAATGAGACCTTTCCCCTCTGTCCAATTTTCCAATTCAATCACTTTTTCCAGAAGTTGTAGCATCATAACACCTGCCAAAGAAATTAAGAAAAATCAAAGCACATAAGATACTGGAAAAAGAGAAATAATTTAGAAATTATCAGGAGTCAAATAGGACTCTTAGATCCTACATTTTACAAATATTACCTGAATGTTTATTAAATGTCTATTATGTTGGTACCATGGGGTATAAATAAAAGAGGTATACTTGTAGTCCCTGCTTTAGAAGTTTACAATATGTTAGTAATCTCTCTCTCTCACTGTCTTAATTAAGAAATCATACAAATACATGGCTAAGTAGAAAATGAGAATATATCATACGTGTCTTAGGAATTAGAAAATTGGAATGAATAAGGGGTATAGTGGTAAGAAAAAATTATTATTATTATTTTTTTTTAAAGATTTTATTTATTTATTTGAGAGAGAGAATGAGAGATAGAAAGCACGAGAGGGAAGAGGGTCAGAGGGAGAAGCAGACTCCTTGCTGAGCAGGAAGCCCGATGTGGGACTCGATCCCGGGACTCCAGGATCATGACCTGAGCCGAAGGCAGTCGCTTATCCAACTGAGCCACCCAGGCGCCCAAGAAAAAATTATTTCTTATGGTAAAAGCCCTGACTTCACAGTAGTACACATTGTCTTAGTCAACAAGCTCAACAAGGATTATAAAATCAACAAGCTCATAACAAGAGTTATGCCTGTATTCCTAACTCAAATATAGTACTGCCCCATGAGACTGAGATCTTAACAATCTATTGGGTATATGGTACACAAAACAAAGGTGAGATTCCTACTTTACTCCCATGAGAACGATTATAGCAGGATGTTCATTCAGGAAAGGGATAGTACATATCCTCTTGTTCCACAGTTGACAAACTATGCTCTAACCCAAGGCATACTATGAAAGTACTTCATAGGCTGCTAATAAGATACCTACCAACTATCAATTCTATGACTTACAGATTAAATTTTTACCTTAGTATCATTCCAAAATTCTATTGGAGCTTCTTTTTTTTTTTTAGGGATTTTATTTATTTATTTGAGAGAGAGAGAATGAGAGACAGAGAGCACGAGAGGGAAGAGGGTCAGAGGGAGAAGCAGACTCCCTGCTGAGCAGGAAGCCCGATGCGGGACTCGATCCCGGGACTCCAGGATCATGACCTGAGCTGAAGGCAGTCGCTTAACCAACTGAGTCACCCAGGCGCCCGTATTGGAGCTTCTTTATAATGGACAAATTTAAAAGGGAAATAGCAGAGACTATTAATTCTTACCAGTGGTGATCTTCCAAGTTCATAAAGTTCATAATGCTATCAATGGTTAAGTTTACTCTTTCCTCTGCTTAAGAAAATGTTTTAGAAGCCAATATAAAGATCATGACAGAGGATTAAAACCAGCAAAGAATCTGTACCACATAGAATCTGTAGCAAGGTTCCAAAACTTACTATATAAGCCCCGTTAAACTATGTACACTACTTTGGAATATAAACTCCATGATGTCAAGAACTATTATTCTTCTTGTCATTTTCTGAAGTAACCAATAATGAAGTGGTTCCACAATAAATGTTAGTGTTACTGATTCACAAGTAACTAATGCAGCTATCCTTTCTAATTGCTAATTATGACCTAATTAAAATAGTAGCCCCACCCAAGGATGTCCTAGGTGTTTCAGAAATATAGTTCTTGGTCTCCAAAGATTTATACAGTCTAGTAGCTTTTTACAAAGAACAAACAAAAACATTCACTTAGGCTAAGAATAAATCTATATAAGTAAATATGGACCTTCAGTCATCCCTAATATTTAAGCTTCTAAAAAAGTAATGCTGGTTTTGAGTATGAGACAACTATACCAGTAGTTAATCTTGAACTCATCTTTTTGACTTTGTAAACTAAGTGTAAGAGTTGGAAGGAACCTTAAAGGAGTAACTGGTTGGGTAATTTTCAAACCAGGGCCTTGGGGTTGTCTGGTGTGTGGGGCTCACTCATCTTCTCCCAGACTAACTCAATCAAACACCATTACCCAAATCAAAGCATCTCTGCTCATATTTGTTTTAAATATTAGCCATGAAATTAATATTTGTTTCCATTTGAATAATAATCTTTACTAATATAAATTATTTATAGCTTTTCAGTAATAAAACTATTACTCTAGTCTAATTTTTGAGAGCAGTATTACTTTTCTAATTTTACTTATCCTAGGCTAATATCAAAATTGGCTTTTATTCTCTGAACCAAATGAAGGTACGGAGATGCATTGTCCAGTAAAGTAGCCATCATCTACATCTAGCTTTTGAACACTTGAAATGTGGCTAGTCCAACTGAGATGTGCAGTTAAGTGTAAAATACACACCAGATTTCAAAGATTTTGTATGAAAAAAAGGAAAATACCTTATAAATAATTTTTCATATGAGTCACATGTTGAAATATTTTTGAATATACTGGGTTAAATAAAGTATATTAAAATTAATTTCAACTGTTTCCTTTTACTTTTTTTTATTTTACTTTTAAAAATATGGTTACTAGAAAATTTTAATTTACATATGTGGGTCACATTTGTGTTTGCATTATACTTCTATTGGATAACACTAATAGAGAGAGAGAGAGACATCTCTGAATTATGCTGAGAGGAAAGAAAAGTTATCTTGTGTTTTAACGACCCACCACTGATAATTTACAAAGTTTACAGTCTATTGAATTTTGTCTATGGGTATGAAAATTTACTGAGACATTTTTGAGCCCAGTATTTCAAATATTACAAAATATAATTTACCCCCCATGAAGTACATAACTGACAAATGGAAATTGTCAGAGTCATCCTGACTGAGTAGTCAGCAAGGTTACTCCTTAGCTCTTGCATAATATTATCAACCACCCATGAGGTACATCACTGACAAACAGAAATTGCCAAAATCACCCTGAAATACGTAGGAGTGCTAGACAATCAGCAGTGTTACTCATTAGCTCTTCCATAACATCACAGTAGTGTAATTCAAACCTGAACTTTGGCGCAAAATTACAAAGTACCACATGTCCTGGACTTTTGGGTTCCTTAAATATGAAATTCATACAAGCCCAAGAATGCTACCTAGCAAATAGAAGGTATTTACCAGTATCTAAGCGTCAGGAAAGAGGCAACACATAGGCAAGCACAGTGTTTTCACTGATTATTGGAATTACAGGGTTAAAATGACAGTCTTATTTCAAGTCACAGAAAAAAAAAGTTAACTAAGTAATTTCTTTTTTCATTTATAGGTTTTTCTCTTTAGTTTTCAAAAATCTTTGAAAGCTCCTTCCCCTTGTCTCCTAGTGACATTAGCTAAACTTAAACAAATGAAGTCATTAAGCAGTTAGTAAATGTCAATGGAAAAAATAATCAAGGTTAATTTGAAAATTTCCTTTCTAGCAACATCCGTATTTATGGATTTTAAAAAAAGATTAAGGGGCGCCTGGGTGGCTCAGTTGGTTAAGCAACTGCCTTCGGCTCAGGTCGTGATCCCAGGGTCCTGGGATCGAGCCCCACATCAAGCTCCCTGCTCAGCGGGAAGCCCGCTTCTCCCTCTCCCACTCCCCCTGCTTGTGTTCCCTCTCTCACTGTCTCTCTCTCTCTCTCTGTCAATTAAATAAATAAATAAAATCTTAAAAAAATAAAAAGATTAAAATACAATTAGTAAAAAATGTTCCTGGTTCAAGTGATGGTTTTGGGTATTCTGTGTATGTGTGTTCCAAGAGTACCACAACTTTCAAGAATTCTGTCACCAGAATAGAGATAAAAATCATGTGATAGCAGCTTAGATTTAGTGTCATTATTTAGCAAAAGAAAGATCTCTATACCTGAGAAGGCATTCATTTTACTTGGATTGTTCAGAGTAAGAATGCCAATGCCACTGTCTTCCTTCTGAAGGTCAATGGATCCACCAGGAAACTGCTGAAGTTTTTTTTTTACTTCTTCCTCATGGAAGCCATGAGATGTATTATAAAGTGACACTCCCGTTTGATGTAATAATTTTGTCCTTACAGACAAAGATGATGTCGTCAAAAGATTTTTTGCCATTTCTGGAAAACAGAAATATGCAGTAGTCCAGATGAGCACTTTTCTAATATTATACGTTTATAGACTTTTCTGTTTAATTGGGACCACTTCCCCACTTCTAAAAGCACTCTGAGGAGATGGTCGGTATGCAAATCCTTCCCTTTTCCCTCCTTCTCAAACCAAATAATTCACAAAGTATACCATTTCAGTATATCACTGAGAGATGATGATGTAGTTACAGTGCATTTACTGGGATCCAATACATGGGAAAGGTTTAGAAAAATGTTGCTGTTCTGTATTTAGCACCATCTCCTGCCTCCTGGCAAGTCTTTCTCATGATAGTAGCTCTTCTTCCTCCAACTCTTTAACTGTTGCAAAATCTAAGAATAAATTCAGGCCAATGTCCCCGTGGAAACCGTCTCTATGCAGGAATGCTACAGGAGCAATCCTACTCTCTAACAGAAATTTCATTCTCAGCATTATTCTTACCTTATGCAATGCTCTGATAGGAAACCCTGAGGAATATGAGTAAAGAAGTAGGAATGTGTGCATGGTTTCTTGTGTTCCCCAGGATTTTGTCACCTCTTCTCATTTTATATATACATCCCGGATAATGTCATCTCTGCCCATAAGGGTTTTTGCCCTCTGTAAGAATTTTTGTTGACATAAAACATACATTCAAAACAGTATACAAATCATAAGTTATAGCTCAATGAATTTCACAAGGTAAATATATTCAAGTCAGTAACACCCAGATCAAGAAACAGAACGTGAAAACAAAACAAAAAAACCATGAAGCTCAAAGGTCTGTTGTGTCCTCTCTCAGTCACAACTCCAAATAAGGATAATAACTACTCTGACTTCTAATATCCTACATTAGTCTGGTTTTGAATTTTATGCAAATTGAATAGTATATATTCTTCTGTGCCTGGTTTCAACTGTGTTTGTGACATCCATTATGGTTATTATGTATAATTACAGTCTAAATAGTCTATTCCTCCCATTGTTGTATTTTATTATATGAATATGCCAAATTTATTCTAATAGATGGATATATTTCTGTTGGCTAGATCTAAGAATGGAATTATTTGGTTGAGCTGCAGCTGACATACTGATTGTTAAACATTGAAGAATTCTGCAAGTTCGTTTTTTAAACCATTGGTGGCTTGAAATTAAGCATGGTGGGAGTATCAGCAAACTCTACATATCAATAGCCACCTGTCTCTCTCTCCCCCACCCCCACCTTTCCTCTCTCCCTCTCTCTCTCTCTCTCACACACACACACACCCCACAGCTGGATTCCCATTACTGCATCTGTTCATTTGTTCAACTTGGAAAGATACCAAAGAGTTTTCCAAAATGGCTGTACCAATATAAACTGGTATTTCCACAGCCAGTGAATGTTCTAGTTGTTTCACAATCTTGCCATCACCTGCTAACATCTTTTTCTACTTTCTTTTCATTTTAGGCATTCTAAAGAGTGGTATGTCATTATGGTTCCACTTTGCATTTCTATGACCTCTAATGAAGTCAAGCTCCATTTTCATATGCTTATTGGTTATTTGCATATATTTTCTAAAGTGCCTGTTAAAGCTTTTTGCCCATTTTTTCTATTATTTGCCTTTTGGAGTTCTTTTGTTTGCCTGTAGCTTTTATTAAAACCCATAAAACAACAAATCCCACATTTCCATCTCCAACACAAACCTTATACCTGTATACTCCTAACTCAAACAGAAATCTTATTCCTTATTCCTTACCTGTCGATGTACCACAGGCTTCTCAAAATCATTGCCTAAACCTGAAGTCATACTTCTCCTAAAACCTGTTGCTCCTTCTTTATTCCTTCCCTTAACTATCTATAATATCATGAACCCTGTAGGCCACAGAAAACCAAATCCCCTTCCCCTCCTTCATCTCTCATATGCAACCTACCTGTAAAATGTCTTGCTTCTTTCTTATCTTTCCCATCCTTTATTCTTTCTACTACCAACCATAGTTCAAACCTCATTACATAACATACACGTCACCAATTAGTTTCACACTACTCCTTAAAATCAGAGCTATCTCTGTAATCCAATCAAGTTATTCCAAATGTAAGGTTTTTTTCAGCAGCTTTCTACTAACAAAAGGATCAAGTCCAAAGCTCACTTTGATTGGGCCCTTATTGATATCTTGAGTCTCTCATAACATCTCTACACACAGTCTATATGGACACCAAACAACCAGAATTCCACAAATTTACCTTGCTATTTTATATTATTACATCCCCATATAATGTCTTTCCTTCCTCACTGACCTGGTAAGTATCTAATCATCTTTAAAATCTAAATTCCTAAATTTCCTCCCATAAGTGATTTCCTAAGCAAATTATTCCTTTTATTTATCCCATTGCAATATATTATATGATTACATTTTAACACATTTTACACATCATTTTAATTCTATTTTTCATTTGTCTTTCTCAACAGACAGGAAGCTTCCTGAGAACAGTTCTCTGAGGTACATTCGCTCTGTCACTACGGCCTAGTATAGTGCTCAACACAAACAAGGGACTCAGATGCTTAATGAAGAAAAGAAATCATCAGGTTGCCAAATGGAATGCCATCTCTAATACGTGAGTTATAAAACGGTATCAGAAGCAGAAGGAGAACAGGCCATCTAAAGAAGATTACAATATGATCTCCCTTCCACTTTAAATTGTTTCACCTTCAAAAGGACATTTTTGTTAAAGTGTCTCAGCAGAATACTTGTAACTGTGTAAGTATCTAAAAATATTACACATTGGAATGCAATCTCCTAAACAGATATACTTCAAGAACTTGGGAACAGTATTTCAAAATTTCTTCATTAAGGTGACTTTGAATACAATATGGAGGAGACCAAGACGTTCCTTAAATCTCATCTAAAAAAACTAAATAAAATGTAATTCATATTAGATACAGTATGACCTAATGCGCTGTGATACATGGTAGAGGGCTTAACAAAAAAGAATGCTGGTGAGTGAGGTGCTTGCTGTCTTTGAAAACAATATCCAAGAATAAGACCTTAATGCTATTTTCCCAAGAAAAAAGGGGTCCTAACTTGCTATCATAAGTGCTGTGGCTTTCAACTGCCATAACTTTATTCTTACTATCAAACTCTTTATGGTCTTAACAGTTAACCCTCTTTCTTTCCTACTGGAAGGGCACTAACTATTATATATCAAGGCCAACAAACTGACATTTCTTCCAAATTTTATGAGCTTAGTTTATCAGAAAACAGTCTCTTGTATTTTAATACTCATGGATGGAGAGGCAATTTTTTTTTTAAGTTTAATTCTGAAGTGTTCCAAGATTATTTTTTTAAAACATAGAAAAAATAATATAACAAATACCCATTCCTCATTTTTAGTAAATGTTAACATTTTTCTCATATTTCCTTCAGCTCATTCTTTTTTTTTATTTTTTAAAGATTTTATTCATTTGTTTATTTGAAAGACGAGAGAGCCTGAGTGGTGGGGGAGGGGCAAAAGGAGAGGGAGAGAGAGACTCTCAAGCAGACTCTGCACTGAGCATGGAGCCCAATGCAGGGCTGGAGCCCAATGCAGGGCTCGATCCCAAGAGCCTAAGATCATGACTTGATCTGAAATCAAGAGTCAGACGCTTAATGGACTGAGCCACCCAGACACCCCCAGCTCACTTTTTATTTTCCAACATTCACAGAAGTAGAGAAAATAGTATAGAGAATTTTCATCTCAGAGCTTGAAAATTATCAACATTTTTGAAAACTTGTTTCATCTAATCACCATCTCACAGCACACACAACCCACTTCTGCTTCCCCTGATTATTTTAAAGAAAATTTACAGGATAACTTTCAAGTGTCTGAACACAAAAGCTGAGATCTTGGGCCACTGGCAACCTAAGTTAAGAAGCCCTCTGACGCACTCCTTAAAAGACATTAAGAGCAGCTTAACTATAACAAGTTCTTTGAACCCAGAAGTCACTTAACCTAGAGGTGGAGCTTAGCACTCTGGAACTTAGTAAAATTTGTTCTTAGAATCTCTCATCAATATCCAACTTGGACATTAATCCGCCCATGTAACAGCTTTCAGAATTATTTCTAACAACTACTGGGGTTATTCCTAGCAGGGTTAAGATTTCAAGGATTCTATCCAGAAGTAAATTCTTTTAGGTTCTTATCAATTCATTCCTAAAACTTACGGGAAAAGAGGACCAGGGAAAGAGGCTCTACTTACTGTAGTTTAGGCTACAGATCTAGGCACTGTCTCCCCATTCTGGAATAAAAATGACTAGAAATCAAAAGAAAATATGCAGGCTAAGTAGAAAGGATGCAAAGTGCTCACATGCATGGAAGTAAGCAGACAAGTGTTTATTTAGAACAGAACATGTCCGGGGCGCCTGGGTGGCTCAGTCAGTTAAGCTTCAGATTCTTGGTTTCAGCTCAGGTCATGATCTCATGATCTCATGATCTCATGGACTGTGGTATTGAGTCCCAGGTTGGGAGCAGGGAGTCTGCTTGAAAGATTCTATCCCTCTGCCCCTCCCCTCACCCCCTCGCTCATTCTCTTTCTCTCTCTCTCTCTCTCCTCCTTTCTCTCAAAAAAACCCAGACATGTCCATGCTCCTTTCCTCCCCCTCCAAAAAAAGTCACTATTTGCCTGTGGCTATAGTTACTGATATTAATCTGTAAGTAAAGAGTAATAAGGGGCACCTGGGTGGCTCAGTCATTAAGCATCTGCCTTCAGCTCAGGTCATGATCCCAGTATCCTGGGATCGAGCCCCGCGTTGGGCTCCCTGCTCAGTGGGAAGCCTGCTTCACCCTCTCCCACTCCCCCTGCTTGTGTTCCCTCTCTCATTGTGTCTCTCTCTGTCAAATAAATAAATAAAATCTTAAAAAAAAAAAGTAATAAAAGCACAAGGGACCCACTTATGGACTCTGAGTAATAAGCATAGTATACTCATGGGTCAAGGTGATAAACAGACCTAATAAGCAACCAAGCAAAGTAGTCAAATGTTACCAGTT